AATGTCACCGAAATGTTATATTAATATTCCATTTTATGTATTCATTTATAAAAATAGACACTCGTGTGACACCTTGAGCGCGATAACATTGAAATTAGATATTCGCAGGTTAGAGAAAATTTTAAATATTTTAACATTAAAAAAAGTGAGTTTCTCTTATTATTATAACTTTATTATTGTCTTTTTCATTGTCGTGTGCTTTTCCTTAATGATATACAAAAATGGCGTAGTAAAATTAACTAACTCATAGGTAAATATACAATCTTCACCGAAAAAGAAACAAACCTTCATTGACAGCGAAGGTATCGGAAACGAAAACATTACAATACAAATTATTTGCACAACAGAGGTACGGATAAAACGAATGAACTAAAATACCTATAATGGTATTAGTTAGATGCATCCTTATGTATATGCTTTTAATTACTAACTGTTTTGTTTTGTACAAAGCGATGAACACAGACATAATTTAAATTTTCGTCAAGTTTGAATTCAACCATCAATAAAAATCAAAACCTTTCTCACACCTTAAACCTCAAACTAAATTAACTTTATCTGAAAATAGTCACTGTCTGAAAGATGTCGCTGATACAGCGGCAGCGCTGATATGAGGACATTCACATAATATAGGCAATCCACATTACATAAAATATAAAATAAATGTATGCGTGATAAAACGGCGTAAGGTGTTGTTCTAAATGGAACATATAACACAAAAAAGAGAAAGTTAGGAAAATAAAAGAAGATTTCTAGCCTCTTCATCACGACACCGTCTATAAACCAGGGGTAAAAGTAATTATTGCCAAGTCTAGAATAGTGCTGGCAACTGAAATCGGTTTTTTTGGATAGTCGGTTAACCGGTTTCGGATAATTCGGATTTTTACGAAACCCGAAAACCGGTTATTCGATTCTTCAAATATCCGATAATTCAAACATCCTAAAAATCGGATTCTTTCTTTATAGCATAATCTAGTCTTAGTGTTATATAGTTATTGACACAGGCTACATAGTACATACATATTACAAGGTTTGAACTATTAAGGGAAATACAATTTATTTTTATATTTTATCCTGGGACAAAGACACATACTGATAAAAAAAACAGTCACCCACACTCACATACACCAAACGACCAAATCCATTTATATAAATAATAAATTGAAGAGTCACAGTAACAAGTACAACTGTTTTAACATTTTAACTTTTAACATTAGATTTAACTGAAGGTAATTTGTTTGGGAATGGGGTCAGTTTTTAAAAAAAACCAGTTTATTGGTAGTACTGGTTTTCTTTAAAAACTGACCCCATTCCCAAACAAATTACCTTCAATTTAATCACTGGGTCATGAAAATACTCTAAAATTAGATTTAACTTTAAAAAAAAATAAAATTTATAATATGTGTGTGAATAACATCGTATATCTCGTCAGTTTTACAAAACACCGATTTTCAGATATCCGGTTTTCGCCATTATTCGAGTAACGGGTTATTCGAATAACCGGTTTTAGAATATCCGGTTTTAGAAACTATTCGACTAACCGGTTTTATCTGAAATCGGTTTTTACGGAACCCGGTTAACCGGTTTCACTTTTTTTCGGTTTTTGCCAGCACTAGTCTAGAATATTATTTTTACTTTATTTAAATTTAGGAATATTCTTTTCCTTCGTTTTTTGTAAGTTTTAAGCACATTGGTGTATCTATTTTACAAAACACGTATTGGTTGTCCTTTTAAATCCTTGTAACAATAAATTAATTTGTTTATTTTTATAGTATCTATGTAAATAGTACACAAGGATTAGATTCGGTCTGTACAATAAAGTTTTTAATAGTGACGTCACATACGCCAAATAATACGCAACCCCCTATACTCGGCGGCCGAAATTATAAAGAGTGACTAATACATAATATAAAAACACTATTACCATAATGCGTATAAAATATAAAATGATTTCTATACGGTTCAATATTATTTATCTTTGTGCCGCTCGCCATGCACATCGGTAGAATCTATAATCGTGTATAGACTGAGTTACACTGAACGTCGATCTATATTTTATCTCTGTCTTTTGCACTTGGTAGGGAATAGGGAAATTCTTTTTTAGAGGGTGTAACTTGATTTGCCCGACTTGAGAAACGTCATAGCATAAGCGTAGACGAGGGGTCTAATTCCATGGCTATAATAAATTTATAAATTAAAAAAACACAACTGGGACGTTTTAAAATGCTGTATTAATTAAAATTGATCAAAGTGCCGGTTATAGCAAACCGTAAAAAATATTAGATGTTATGTTTTATTATGTTTTTTCAATATTTTATGTATCTTGTTGCCTTTTACGCAGATACGCCAATGGATTTTTGTTCCCGGCACGCTTCATCCCCCTTACTAGTCCAAGAGCTAGCGATGAATCACTATCTATAATTTTGGCCGTCGAGTTTAGTGCACAATTATCATGAAGAATTTCCCAATATTTTTAATAGATCGATTTTCGACCTATGATTTTCGACCTTATGTACTTTTGACAAAAAATGGCCTCTTTGTCATGACCTTAAATATCGCATTGGTTGTTCTTAAATACTTCCAATTCCTTGTGAAAATAAGTTAATTTGAAATTGTTCATTTTTATAGTATCTATGTAAATAGTACAAAGTACACAAGGGTCAGATTCGGTCTAATGTCTATACAATTTCAACTATGACAATTTGTTGCGGGTTGTCCAAATATGTGACGTCACACTAAAAGAGTTTATTTTAACTATGACAATTTGTTGCGGGTTGCCTAAATATCTGGCGTCTCACTAAAAGGGTCTATTAGTTCCTACGAATAGCACCTCAATTGCATCCACGGGAACTGTTCTGAATCTGTGGCCTTCATGTTCTTTATTCAGACTGAGGCAAGAATGGAGCATATGGTGGGAAATATTCTGGCAAGGTGGGTTCAAGGACACTCTAGATAACAACAATAATCATGAGTATTCTGCTAGAAATGAACAGTGATATCCCTTTAAGGTTGAATTCTGAGAAACCCTACAATACTCAGCTAAATTGGAACGATGAAGTAAAATAACTTGTCAGCCTGGAATACTAGTGTGTTATAATAATCCAGATCTGACAATGGAGGTGGAACAGACATACTTGGGACAGGTCTTAGACTAGAGGCGTCCCGTGACCTCTTTTTATTGAGTGTGCCTCACGCTACTCTCATACGAACGTTGTTCCCATTGTAAACGGAGCAAAGATGTACCGTCCAACCCCCACCCTTCTCTATAAAAAATAATAGAACGGCATTGTCAATGTCTTATTATAAACACATACGCATGTAATTACGTCTTTCTATATTTCTGTATTCCTTCAAGTTAGGGAATTTCTAATGTACATACATATTTGTTTCTTTAGGTATTTATATTTGTATTGATATTTATCTTGTAACTAGATTCACAAACTGTTGGACAATAAACATAGTATTATTATTAGATATACCTAGAATCTTAATTATAAAACTAAGGATATGAAGTAGTATAAATAAACCAGGATTCACCTTATTTTATTTTCTTTAACTCAAAATTGTTTCATTTTGAAGGCGTTCACTAAGTGTGAAGAACGTGCTATTGAGATTTGTCTGCAAATGAATATGAGTAGGGAATATAAAATATGTAGAACCGATGGCTATATGAATAGTAATAGCCAATCAACAATAATAGCTTTACCAAGACATATTTCCACTTTTTAACTAATGATATTTTTATTATTAGGAGATCAATCCATTTGAGCCACTAATCAACATATTAGAGAGAAAAAGGTGATAACGTTGCTCAGGGGGATCTCTCTAATATAGGTCATAGAAGGCCAACGCTCTACCATCACGGATTCTCTTGGTGACAAAATGGCAGTACATTCACATAACACATATAGTACTGTCTCGTCTTCCTGTTCACAACCCCTACAAAGAGGTACTTCACACTTCCTCATGTTGTGAAGTTGTTTTCTTAGCCAGCAGTGTTCAGTTTAGATACCAGTCACCAGGCGAAGATTTGACATAGACATGGTCTGGTATTTTTTGGCTGTAGCCTTGCTGGGGTATTCTAGGAACTTACCAATATCTATTATCTAGTAAATAGCTAAGAACTTTCATCAAAACAGTCACCACTGGTTTCGAAGTTATTAGTTCTTGTCAGTATACCCTATGCAAAATAACAAATAATCTTAGCTATTTGGATGTCTATCCACAGATATGGTTTGTGTACTGGGGTAGTTGTTTCCTACAGTATCATTAGCAGTTAAACAATTTTTTCCATCTAGCCATGCGTTCATAGCTGTAAGTTACTTTGTACAAATAGGTAGTGTGCTAGTAGACATTGCATTGGCTAGTAGCATTGGCATTCATAGATATGCCATATCAACGGTGAAAAAAATCGGAAAAATGACTACCGACATGTTGAATTGAGCACAAATCGAGCAAATTACGGAATTTCTATGATTCTTCGTGATTTGAAGAAACATCTTCACACAATGGGCTTACAGTGACAAACCCATATGTGGAATGTGACAAGGACGAAACAGCCTTCTATATAAACTTTGAATGTTAAGTCCTAACGCAATTGAGATACTAACTAGGTACCATGAGGATTTAAAAATGAAAATTTAGAAGAAACCATTTCATTTACAATATAACAATAGACAGCAATCAGTAAGTATATAGATTACAGTATGAGAGCATATGTATAAAATTCTCAAAGTTCAAAGCAAAATTTTAATTTCAAAAATGACAAATTTAGTCAGTATTCTTCATAGCTATGCCACGAGTTTGAATTGAGACTTATTCTTTGTATGTTGCATTTAAATATCTTCACTCTCTGTAAACTTTAACTTTCTCAAAAACGAGGATTTCGAATGTACAAGAATTATTCTTAAATATGGAAATTCTTCTTCCATATTTCCCTCGTTCATTTTTGCCACATTGTTATCCTGCACACTAAACATTTACACAATAATTTAAGTATCAGATGCACCTATAACATTTTTTTTATTAAAACTGAGAAAATATCGTACACAAAATAACAGTATTAAATAGGTACCTTATCCACAATTACATACTCATAAAAACATATTCTAAATAATATAATTTACTGTCTTGGTAACTTTTTTGTAGGAATGCTTAGTATGGACTTGCATTGAAAGAGAAAATACGTAAACATAGGTGTACTACATTATAGAACAAATTTTCTTGTAAATGTAACTTACATACCAGTTTTACTTAACAATTAATTGTACAGTCATGTCGGAAAACATAGTACGTGGTTCTCACAGTAACTAATCATTTAAATTAAATTATTTTAAATAATATAACTTAAGCCTTCTTCTTCAGTCCAAAGCTGTTCATCATCTTTATGTGGTCTAGGTGTTTTTCAATTGTGGGATACCAATCCTTCCCTGTGTAGTTAATTTTTGGCAAATTACCATCATAGTCGGCTGGTAAATGCGAAGGGCTCATGTACTTGTGAAGGGACGACATCTTGCTGCCGTGGAAGAAGATCTAAAATTGTGAAGTAGTAGTTAATAATAATAAACATATAAAGAATGCAAATCAATGAGTGTAAAAGTAATATTTACAGATCAATGAGGTAATACTTCGTTGAATATGAGGGAGTTCCTTCATGTAATCCTTTCCAGATTTATGGCTGTTCAAAAGGGGGAGAGAAAAATTGTTTTTTTTTTTAAATAGGTGCATATGTAAGTTATAAAATTGAAGTATCTATTGTATTCAATTCCGGGATTTCAAGTAACCACAAGCAATTTCTTGCGTAGCTTTGAGCTTTTTTAAACCGAGCTTGTGAGATGGGATTGCAGCAAATCGATGTTTCTATTTTTGTCTTACAAATCAATTTATCAGTCTCAACGGATTCGCTCTTTAGAAGATGGATGAGTATGGATACGCGTGGCTGTACATTTCACAATGTAAATAGGAACTTGAAGTATGATAATTGAGATTAGAGATACTTAAATCAAACCAAAATAATTTTTGGTACGAGATCTATCAACGGCTAACTTCTAACCCAAGAGAACTCAAGCAAACTACGTTAGATGTTAGATGTGGTTTGAGTTACCACGTCGCCACATTGCATTTTAATTTTTGGAATAACTAGAATGATTTCAAAGATATCAAAATGAAGAAGAAAAGAAGATGTGTTTCATGATCAAGAAGGAAAGAAATATGTGTTTCTTCCAAAATTGAAAAAGACGAGTTCTATGCAAAGAATATTGAATTTATAATGTGTATAATACTCACTCTATTCTTTAGCTTCGCCCTGATCAAGGGCTTGAATATAGTCCAGACCATGTTGAAAATGAAAGGCTGCTTGACCATATGAACCTCTTTTAATCTTAGAGGCATGGCATCTTGTATAAAACTAAGCAATTTCAGACTAAAAGAAGGAGATAAGGCTTTGACTTGTGTCAAACCCAAACCATTGTAGTCCATGATAACAACTGCTCCTCTAATCTGAGTGGTTGGTTCTAAAACAGCTGCTTCATGAATGAGGTAGAATAGACGGAATAGTTGGTCAGCTGTCACTTTGGATGGGTCCCATGTTTCTAGAGAAACATAAATTGGTTTAAAAAGGGTTTTAGATGGATTTGCAAGGTTCCGAAGTATTTTCGCCACGTCATCGGTTTAGACTTTTTGATGTTTCGCTCAGAAAAAGAGACGTATCGCTCAGAAAAAAGTGGGTAACTGAAAATTAAGTTCTCTAGCGTACCACTTAATCTTCTGTTTCAGAACTTCTTCTGAAGATTAAAGCGATATGTCCTCAAAACATCAAAGACAAGAACTAATGACGTGGCAACTAGACTGAGAAATTTGATAAAGATGTGTCAAAAATTACTTAGACAAATAATTTTAAATCAATTTTACCTCCAACATTTACAACAAGCACTCTTCTTCCTTTATGATCTCTACCTTTCAGTACATTGACTACATTGTGTTCTATAAAGGCAACCTTTTCATCCTCTGGAAGTAAATTTTCTAAAATGTTTTTGTACTTTTCTTTAAATGCTGCTATCCGCTTCATCTGAAAGTGACATAAATATTAGAATTTTAGTTTGTATGCTATTGAGCAAATAGCTTCAGTTTTTCTATACACTTTCGTAATTTGACCTTTTGGATATTCCAAAATATTTACGCGATAATTCACGTTCTATAATTATCATAACTGAGTTTGACAAATTTAATAAAGGAAATACGTATGTATTTATGTATGTAAGACTTCAATTTTAATTTTGTTTTAAATGACCTAATGTCGATATTTCAAAAAAGCATTCATTGACACATATTTGCATTGTTATTTTTAGGACAATTATTCATCTAAGCCATGTAAAAAAAATCAACCATTATATCATACAATGGTTATAGTTATCGTCAGTATAATAACAATAGGAATTGTGAAAATTTTGTTTACGCAACAATTAAATTGAAGATCAGCGTTAATGTTTTAGATTACCGTATATGAACCAATATATTTACTATTTTCGCATTGTGGCATAATTGATTATCTATTTAATTTAATTTATTCAGTTTATCACCTAGGCGACTAATGGTTAATAATTCATAGATACGTAATGGATCTTTTTAACTTTATTTTTTGTTATCATATACGTATAAGCACAAAAAATATCAAATTTTTCGGTGTTTTCAGCTGATCTAAATTATAAATTTGTTTATCCCTTCAAAATGTAGGACAACTCTAACGGTAGGATATTAATATTATGTCATTTTAATCATAAACCACTGAAAACTTTCGGAAGTAATATTGGTCCCTTAAGGTGCGTTCCAAATTAAACAGAACTTTTTAAAAATAAGAACAAAACATTTTTTTGGCAAACCGATTTATTTTATTCAAAATAGTTCCCTCACTCAGTCGGCATTTTTCCGAAAAGGCAAATACGGGAGTGGCTGACATGAGTTTAGACATTTGAGACGCTTAATAAAAAATCAATTACATTTTGCTTACAATAATTATCTTGTTGACTGCCAAGCGAATATTAAAAGTGACCCTAAAAGGTTTTGGTCCTTTGTACAGAATAAGAAAGGGCATACGCGTATACCAAAAAATGTTTTTCTCGATGATCAAGAATTTGATGATCCCGTGCAAATTGTTGACACTTTATCTAAATTCTTTGCTAGCGTTTTTTCCAACGAAAATGTTCAAAATCCACATCTATCATTAAATTATTATCAATCCTGCATTAACATACAACAGCTTACTGAATCTGATGTCCTTCTAGCAATCTATAAACTATAAAATAAAATGACGTGTGGTGAGGATCAGATTCCTAGTTTTCTAGTAAAGGATTGCTCGAGAATTCTATGCACTCCGCTTCTTACGTTATTAAATATTGCTTTATCAACTGGCGAATTTCCTGATATGTGGACACTTACAAGAGTGTGTGTGATGTAAGAAATTATCGTCCTATTGTTTCCGCAACCGTTACTTTGCGGACACATGTTTATTAAGACTTTTCTGCTTATTTTGGTTCATACTATTACCTCCTGAAATATTTTACACTCTTTTTTAACACACTGTATAGTATGTACATTAATTATGAACATTTAAATAAATTGTATAACTACTGACAGAAGACTTTGATTGTCCTTAAGACGGCCTGTAAATTTTATATTCACAAATTTCTTATTGGTAATGAAATCGTAACTTCTCAAGGATTATTAATTTTTTTTTATAAAATTTGTTAATACTAAACAATCAAATTAATGTGTTTTAACACTTTGATATTCACATACTAAACTATTAAAAAACTAACTAATCTACTAATTTTCAACTTACCAGCTCATATGCACTTTGAGCATAATATTTGCACGGTCTTAGGAATATTTTCAAGACCTCGTCATCGTCATCCTTGAAGTAAATAGTGTCGTCGTTTTTCAGGAGTTCTCTGAGTTCCGCCAAAGCTTTCTCGACGATCTCCGGAGTTTCTCTGAGTTCCGTCTCAGCTATCTTCTGAGTTTCGGCATCAGGTGGCGATAAGTCCAAGTCGAAGTCAGTCATCTATGAAAATAATAAATAAGTCAAAGGTATAGGTATTTATCTCAAGGGCAACAGAAAATGTCAAATCTCTATCAACAGATTTTTTTGACATTGTTAACGCTTTCGAAACTGTGATAAAATTTTTCAATTTCCGAAGCGTATGTCAATGCTGATATAAAACAAAGCGTTTTATTTTTTTTCTATATTACAAAATGACGCTTATTCAAATTAGAGAGCATTATGATCATTTGGATCGTGTTTTTTTTTTACAAGTTGAGAGTAATCATTAATTTTTTTTCATCTACTGCCTTGAATTCGAACATAAGCTAGACTCGTTTCCCAATTATTGCCGAAATTGTACTTGCCTCGAATAATAACCTATTTAATTCAAATATTGATAAGCATTGTTTTATAATTTTCCACTTTTAAAGCACGTAAACAGCCACTTATTTGTTTAATTATTATTTATAAATATAAAACTTATCAAAGATAGAGACATAAGTACTTTGAATTATTTGTTAATAAGAGTTTTTTTTTGAAAGTCCAACAAATAAATACTTATTGTATTAAAAACTGGAAGCATGATAATGGTCAAGTATCATTTTATACTAAACCGAAAAATTCACATAATTGTAGCACAAATCGATCAAGTTATAAGTTCTGCTAAACTTTTGTAGAATCTGAAAAAAATCTATAAAATTTATGCACTAGTAAAAATAGTCGGAATTTAATTGTTTCATTCTCAATGTTTTATACAAAATTATACGAAAGTTACAAGTTTGTAACTTCTGTTACAACTATGTGGCATACAGTAAGCTGATATTTCTTTAACAAAAGTTAGGATCATTGTTCAGTTTATCAGCAGAGGACAGATGAATTTTTATCTGTCCTCTAATTCTAATTTATAAGAATATTTCTCAGGAGATCACTGCGTTAATATTTTATTTCATTATATATTTATGGAGACTGATTTTGTCAGAAAAAAAATATACAAAATATTATATTCACAATATTTCCAGAATAAATGAAAGTCTGAAAAAGAAGCGATAGCCAATCCAATGTAATTTTTCTTAATCTTGGGCTAATCACGTCATTATTTATACTTACTGACAAAACTCGAATTTACTTATTGAATTTGGAAATATTAAGTTAAAATTATTAGTTTGGAAAATATTCTTGTCGGTTTAAGTGTTTTTTTTCTTGGTTTCATTTTTCCAAAAGGTTTCCACTTTTGTATATTTGAATTAAATGAATAGGAAGTAAAGATTTTGATGATTTTATCAGGAAAATATAAACTATAAAAAAATTCTTCTGATAAACTCACAATGTCTGTATTATACATATAAGACAAAAATGTCAGTAGATTAGAGATTTTTCTCAACAATAGTGAAGTTATTGATCCGAAATTAGTCAAAACAAAACACTGGATTGGTGATAATGTAATGGGTGAAATAGTCTATAAAATTTGTTCATATATGGCAGAAATAGTGGTTATACACGGTGATGAGACATTGGATATATTTCAGAGACTACTTCGATTTCAATTTTGAAAATTTTGGGCAATAGTGTTTTTGGGCATGCCCTTCTCAACTAAAACAATGGCGTCCACCTAACGCTTCCGATTATACCGGAAGTTGACGTCATCTTCGTTGTTTTAAATGAAAAACTCTACATATTACTGCAATTTTAGATTCTACGTCAATTTTTAGGAGAACTTTCATAAATGTTTCCTATTCTTAAAGTTAACCGTTTCTGATATATTTAATTTAAAAAAAAAATTAAGAAAGCACTGCCTAATTAAAAAAGATGTGCATTTTACAATCATAAAGTTAGAGCGATCAATTTTATAGGGGACATAACTAAAACTATAAGTTTCCCTGCCATGATTTCAAAATGACTTAATTTCATACAGGGTGGTAGAAATTTAATGCCTAATTTAGTCAACGTTAAACCATCTTAACTTATTTTTTTAAATGGAACACCCTGTATGAAATTAAGATATTTTGAAATTATATCAGGGAAGCATAGAGTTTTAGTTATGTCCCCTATAAATTTTATCACTCTAACTTTATTATTGTAAAATACACATCTTTCTGAATTAGGCAGTACTTTTTTAATTTTTATTGAATTTTAAGAATAGGAAACATTTATGAAAGTTCACCATTTAAAATAACGAATAACGTCAACTTCCGTTGGTGGACGCCATTATTTTAGTTCAGAAGGACATGCCCGAAAACACTATTGCCCAAATTTTCAAAATTAAAATTGAAGTCGTCTTTGAAATATGTCTAATATCTCGTCACCGTGAGACACCCTGTAGAGTATAATAATAAAAAAAATTTAAAACAATGTATATAACAACGTAGTTATTGCTCCTCACAAATCAATTTAGTCATTATAGTAATTTTCTACTTATATACAGTACATATTTTCTTTCATTTTTAGTGACTACCTTTCAATGTGCACCGTAGGTACTTTTGTAAAAACATAATTTCGAAAAATCAAGCAAGACAATTCAAAGCAAAAGCAGAACAAATCAAACAAAACAAAGTTTCTGCCACAGGTCATTTCGTTATCAAAACATACTTATCCGTATTTTTGATACTTATTGTTCAAAATGTACAGTGAAACAATAATTCACTTTTTTAATAAACTAAACAGCATAATTCACAAATGCAGGAACAGATAACTTAATAAATAAACAGAATTTGATAAATAGCAAAAATAACATATTTTGCAAAATCGTTTAATAATTTACAGTTTTAAACACTAGAACAAATCTCAAAAATCTTAAAATTACTGTTTGCTTTCGCAGTAAAAAACGTGCTACTTGACGGTTCATAAAGTAAATATATACACGTTTGGAGATATCAATTATTTCACTTACCTTAAATTTCCACTAAGAACCGTAGGAGTAGTTCACCTCTTTGAACGCAAATACAGTATGTTTCGGTATCGGAGAAGTCTCCGGTTTTAGTAGAATTTATCTTATCCCTATTATTTGTTTCGATACAAAGTTCATAATTTAAACATTATTTTAAAGTATCGAGATATCACGAATGGCTGGTCTGTATGTGACGAGACATAGTCGTAGATACAGAGCACACAGAGGGTACAGAGGTCATGTTGTATTATTTGACATAAAAAAATTGAATGATTCAAAGTGTGTGTTTATGAAAACAGCAGGCAGCTGATTTCCCAATTAAATAAATTACTCAAACTCAGCTAATATATATTTTTTAGTTGTATAAGGGTTAGAAAATTACTAACAGTTTTCTTAAGACCGAATTTCAGATATAAGACTTTGAACTGATTGATGATATTGCATATCTTTTGACTTTCCAGTTTTCAGTTACAAAACTGTGATTATACCACATTTTTTATGTTTTACACTGTCGATAGCCGCACGGTTTAAGGCGTCAATACTTAAATCGATGTGTTGATCTGCTCGGGTTTCGAATCCCGCGGCTGGTAGACCGTAGATTAGCTATGCTTGTACGGAGGATTGGCACCCTCTGTGCAGGTATGGTAGGGTGGAAGAATGTTGGCTTGGGTCAATGTGAGAGATTGACACCGATTGGCATTTGACCACCCCCCTAATTAATGAGGTTTTCCAGGTTTCCCTCATTCCTGCACTGAATTGTGGTAAGGGCCTACCAACATAAGTCGTTCCTGGGCGCAAATGCGGCCTGCGTAATAATAATGTGTCGCCTCCTCTCCCGCGCAAGTCTCCGACTTCTGGGCTAATTCTCGTAGCTAGAATGAATTATTATTATTATTATTATTATTATTATTATTATTATTATTATTATTATTATTATGTAATAAATTAAAACAGTTTTTTTTTAATTTTTTCATATATGGAACGGACAAAACAAAGTACCTATTTCATCATAAGTTGGAAATACTATTCGGTATTAACTTTTTTAATTCAAAATGAACAATACTGCAAATTATTAATTATTTTTTCTTGTTATAATGTCTCAGTAATAAAATTTTGAATGGAATTTTCATGAAATACCATTTCCTATCTCGTGTTTCATTTAGGTACCACATTTTTGAAGTATTTGCTGTAGTAATGTGTAATAATAAAAAAGGAAAATATAGAAGTTTTGATTTCTTTTTAAACACGTTTTTAAAAAGAATTAAATAAATACTAAGGTATTGCAAGTTTTCGAAATTAATTTTTTATAATAAGAAATTTGTATTTACTACGGCACTGTGGTGCAAAGTTAATTAGCACAATACTCCAAATCTTGCATGTATTTTCCATTAATTTAGTTTTTAATGGCACATATGAGTTAAATATGTTTCAGTGAATTGGTTAAATTTAATCTAATTTTCACCAAAAATATAAAAATATTCCATTGCTGCACAGAAAAAGTGGAATTTGAGACAGTGATATTCTCTAAAAATTAATTCCAAAGTTGAGCTAACAAACGATAATATACATGTACGTCCCATTTAGTGGTTTTGATAAATAAAAATAAGAGGTCAAAGATCCCCAATGATTATTTATCAGATACTTTTCATTAACACTGTGGAAATACATTTGAAAATAATATTTCAAAATATATAAAGCCTGGTTAATATTATACAATAATATAAACAAAAAAAAACTTATATGACATGTGTCCTAAACTCAGCCATTTCCGAGAAAAAAATTATCAAAATGATGTACATGTTGATGTACAAAAGTTCGATTAATTAAGGAATATTGACATAACTGCGTGCATGGAATAACATAAAATACAATGTTTATCACTTTTTTGAACTTCTTTCTGCTTAATTCTAAAAAATAGTTGTAATAAATTTAAAATTCGATAAAATTCATATCTAGCAATGTGACAACGGCGCGGCGGATAACACGAGGTACTACTAAGCAGTCTAACAATACGCAATTCAGTTGGTATCTGCAATTGGACCGTGTCTGAGTGTTTTTTGCATACCACTATTTCCTTTTCTTGAGGTGTTTTCCAGCGAGTGCGCGAAAATTGGATTCGAAGGTGTCATGCCTTCATCGAGAATGGTGGTGGACATTTTCGGCATATTTTGTAGTTTGTTTGCGTTTAAAAATTACTGAATTTTGCTTTTTGGTAAGTACCTAAATTACTTTTTTAATACGTATGATTATTTGGATGTCGTGAATCTTTGAGTACTTTAATTACATATTTTTCAAATTCATAATTTGATTAAAAGTTAAGTTCCTGTTTTAAGAGATTCAAAATTACTAAAATTGGAGCTAAAATTTAAGCACAATACCGTACTCCGTACTCCGTACTACAAAACCGATATATTTTATTTATTTAAAAACTGGAAAACAATTGTCCTGAAATTTACTAAATGTTTCACAATAATAGTTGTTTACATTTTTTCCGCAGGACAAATCTGCCGCGTGCACACGTGGTATGCATCAGCTGTGTGGCGTTAGGTTAAGCGCTGTTGTTGTTTCAAAATAATAGTTGTTTACATTTTTTCCGCAGGACAAGTCTGCCGCGTGCACACGTGGTATGCATCAGCTGTGTAGCGTTAGGTTAAGCGCTGTTGTCACGTTGTGATGAAACTCCCCAATATTAATACCACATACTTCTATCCTATACTGATCATTTTGCAATTGACCTGAAGCCGAAAAGTGGGGCGACCTACCAGCGTATTCATACGCATGCGTTTACTTTACGGGTTTTGATTGGTTGAAATGAACCAAAAACGGTGAGCACCGAGCGGTAAAAAAGCTAAACCAAGCTAACCTAAAAATATTCTCATTTTGTTTTTTGTTGTGCTAGTGTTTTGGTGAAACTGTTATGGTTTTAGTGTATATTTTAATAAATAAATAAATAAATAAATAAATAAATAAATGTATCTTTTGAGTTTTATTTCATAATCTGTTTAAACCTGCACTAATTCTTCTATTAATTTATCTTGTGTTGATATTTAGTAAAAATGTTTCAAAATTATACTCGACAAGAGCCTTTCTTAATCGTGGAAATTATTATCGGATTGGTTTCTTACAGATATTTTATAGCATGTTTTTTTATATTATCAAATAAACTGCAGAAACCATTATAATAAATAATTATATAATGAACTTTTTTTATAAAAAAAAGATTGTCAGTTGTGCCCGGGTTGAGCGAATAGTGGCGATTTTTTGAAATACTAAGTCTTGTTTAATAAATACACCAATGTCATTTAAAAAAATGTCCAAAATTACGAACATGCCTATGTACCTACATAGTTTTAAAAGCATATAAATTTGTATTCTGTTTTATTTTAGTTGAGCCTGCAAAATAATAAATAGGTTATGCAGATACTTACGTTATTTATTGAAATTAATAAATGGTAAAATAATGTGTTAGATAAAGAGCCTATCGATAGAGGACTCATAGAAGAATATGGTAGAAAAGTAAACATTTAGAAATTGAAGTGAACTCAGTGAAAATAGATTTAATATCTTATATGTATATAATCGGTTATAGTACAGAGCATGCCGTGACAATCTTTTCAATTTGAATGCAACCGCGCCTAATTATGGAACATGCGCAAAACACACGGAGTACGTCTCGCCCCCACTTTTTGGAAACAAGGTCATCCATTGAAACTATGGGTAATAATCAGTATAGGATAGAAATATGTGATTAATACCTACTCGCTGTATTTTGAAAGCTGTTAATCTTACGCCCTTGTAATATATAACTTTTTTTGTTCGTTTTTGATTACCTACTCCATATCATGCTGAAATAATGGCAGACAAACTTCTTACACTCTGTATTGTTTCCAATAAGATTAAGTAAAACTTAAAAAATTGTCGGATTTAGTAAATTTTTTATTCAGTGCAAATGTGGACAAAAAATGGACTAGGTCTTCCAAAAATCATCTATTTTGGATAATACCAGAAAATTCTTACATTCAATTTCTAGGAGAAAATCCCATGATTGTAATGATGCTATAGCATTTGTTATATTTTCCCTCTTGTTTTGATATCTGTTGCAGATTTCGAGTTAAAAAGAAAATTTCTCAGCATTAAATATTGACACTAAAATACGGGGTGTTTTGGGACAGCCTGTATAAATGTTTGATAAATTTAGAAAGCCATGCAACTTAGAACCCTCCTGATATTTTAAATACCTAAAGATAAATTATTCATTTGGTTCTGATGTACCCAAACTAAGCAACATGGGAAGTTATTACAGATAATTTGTTTTATTAAGTTATTATAGAAACTACTCTAATGTCCTTAAATTGTTTATTTCGCAAGAAAAGAATATATTTAATTATATAATGATCTGAATCATTTTATAAATGAACTTCTTTAAAAACATTGTTTAAAAAATAAGTATCTAAATTGTTATCATATTAGATATTCTTAGCCCTTAACCCATAGATGCCACTTGACCCACTTACATTTATGTAAAACAAACAATTTTTGTGTTACATCAAAACACTCAATATTTTCCTTGAAAACACAAAGAAAACGTTAAAGGATTGAAAAACTTCTTATATCCAGGGACGATCCCTTGTGATAAAATACTTTCTTAGTCAAAAATACTCATAAACACTCAAAATTTCCAAGTAAAAGTCTCACATGCACCGATATTTTTATTCATTGTGACCTTTGAAAGGGATTTAAAATTGCATCATTAATAGTATTCTCATTGTATGTTTTTACCGAGTTGAAAACTTGCAATTTAAAAATTGCAATTTAAAAACTTGGCCCACCTAGAAATTTTTGCGTCTCTAGCATTTTTTCTCTAAAACGTTCAATTTTTTTGTAAAAAATGCAGTATCTACATGTGCATTACAATAGAAAAAAAAAACTTAAAAATAGTCAGTGCACAAATTAGTTGTGATACACAACTATTTTTTTTATCACACTATTTTTTTTTTCTAAATAATTGTGATCAAGAGTTTGCGAAAATAATACATTTCATTAGAGACCGACCGAATGTGATTTTTTTGGCCGAAGCCGAAGCCGATGCTGATGCCGAAGATATTTTTAT